ACTGAAAGGTTGGCGAAGCAACTGCAGCTAAAGTGATGTAGATGTTCGTGTGCGTTAATTATCTAATAACGAATGGACTACGTCGCTCGTTTGTCATCGTCATAAAAGAAACTCTCGAGCATCTTGACCACGAGACCTTTCGTCGAAGGACAACGCACAGCTTTCGCACGGTCGAAACTTTATCGTCCGTAATAAGCCCCCAAAAGCTGTAATGACCAACGGCGAAAGATCATTTTGTCGTTGATCGAGTTCGACCGAAACTGTATCAAACATTAAGATTTTAATGCGACCGCCTTTTTAATGGTCTCCGTTTCGTAACATTCACCCGCTTTGGATTAAAGGTTTTTGGAATGTCGATATCTCATTTATGAGCGATTTATTTTATGAAAATATTTAGTTAGTCGATGTCTTAGCTTTTTTATTTATTTAAAATATTTAATTAGTACATTGAGACTGTGTCTAGAAGAAATAAATTATATAATAAAAACATGCAAAACATTTCTCTACCAACTGGATTTCTTTATTAAGACTTTATGACTTAATAGACATTATACTTTATTTAGTCCTATATGACGCAAGTATATAAAAAATTTCAACTTGATTTTTTTTACTCAATGCCGTATATACAATCTTCAGTATTAATTAAATTCAGTATGCTATCGACTATCTACCACAACACATTGTACAATGAAAAACGTCCGCTTAAGCTAACGAATTGTTTTTCATAATTATATAATACTAGCGACACGCCCCGGCTTCGCACGGGTGTAATGTATTATACATATAAACCTTCCTCTTGAATCACTCTATCTAGCAAAAAAACAGCATCGAGATCGTGTAGTTTTAAAGATCTAAGCATGCGTAGACAGACAGCAGGACGACTTTGTTTTATACTATGTAGTATTATAATCTAATGCAAATCGACTATGTGTCCCTTCGAATAGATAACCCGGACCCATCGGAATGGGTCAGCCGCGAGCGGTCGGGGTAACGAATTGGTCGCATTAAAACCCCCTCGTGCCCCATTCACTAATATCGTTTTATTATGCTAACGATTTCAGCGCGTATTAGTTCCGTCGGGAGGCATTAATATCGCGCCGAGATCGCTTCTATTAGCTTAACTCGATCGCTTAGATGCCGCAGTCGCATCAAAGCCGCCATTTTGTTTAAACTGGTCAGTGTTAAACTTTATGATGACCTGTCAAATGTTTGAATTTATTATGAACCAGCACATCCTTTGTATTTTCTTTTTAGGAACAGGCTAATGAAAGCAATAAATGTCTTTTTATTTACTTTTGTTTTTTTTTATTTATTATTTATGCTTGACTTATTTTTTTATATTTCACTCATAACTGGCACTTACTCCCTTTCAGATGATGATTTGATTGATTTTTTTTATTTTTTTTATAACCATTGCCCTTACTTTAGGATAACATTACCCTGTGTTGTAAGGACGTTTTACGAACATAAATTTCACGCGGACAAACACCCAGATGCGAAACAACTATCTGTGGATCACACAAATATGATCAGAAGCTATCATAATAAAACCGTGCAGTTAGACATGAATATTAGTTTAGTGGTGTTGTGCTGTGCTGTGTTTCAATTAGCTTCAAACATTGAAGGCAGTTTATAGTTATTCTCGTATATCTTTTACGACATGATAGTATATTGAATCCATAGGCGTGTATCCAATTAACAATTATGTGCAAAATTACCGATTAATAATTAGCGTGTTTGTTAAGGGGAAACACTTGAAGAAAATATGAAAAAAAAAATCCCACAACAGCTATTTCGTAAATTTCCATTATCGTATGAATTATTTTGATTATTTCGTACTCGATTCGGCTTTAGATGGTAGCGCAATCGGAATTTTTATTTCCATAGACTTTAGGACATGTCCCGACACTATCAGCCATTTCCCTTCATAAATATTGAGGCGATCTCCCGTGGAGGTCCGCCATAAATCGCTCATGTCGCGCGATGACGTCGCGGAATTTCGCCCGGGAATCGAAGCAATTGAGCAAGGCTCGGTCACGGCTTAGCTGGATTTGCGCTCCAGACGGAGACGTCATCTATTTTATGGACGGTGACGATGCGGAATAATGATAGAAACATGCTTGATAAACTGAAACGAGAACAGAACTGGCTATCCGGTGTTACAATTGTAAGGTTAAATCTGTATTGGTTTGCTTTGATTACTTTAATTACAAATTGCTTTATTTTTTGCTCCAAATTGTCACTTCAATATATTTTGTATCCTATTAGTTTAAGCAGTAGTTAGTACATAATAAGTAAGAACAATTCTTCTTCCTTTCTATGTACTAACTACTGGTTATACATTTGGGGACTTCGTGGTGCGATTACCAAGGTGTTGACTTCAGGGTCGGCGGTCGTAGGTTAGATTCCCACACGGGGACAACTATTAGTGACTCACAGATAGTTAATTATCAACAATTTACCGACTTTTTGGCATAAAGAGGGTCTTTAAAATGTAACCTAAATCAAATGTTATTTTACTTATTGATAGCGAAAATATTGCGAACCATCGAGATAAAAACCTTTGAGAAATTTAGTTCACGAAATGGCTAGAGATTACGTGCAGTGAGAAAAGAAAAAAAAAAAAAAAAACGAAAGTTGCATACTGAAGGCAACACAGTGATTCAATGAAATGAGCAGTAATATAAAGAACTTTCAGAGTGTAGAAAATGGCTTCCAGCGCAGAATTCTTAGACAGTTGAGTATTACTATTAAATAAACACCATATTCTGCCGTTACCTTGTTCATACATCTACTAAATTTGGATATTTGCTCATAAAAATCCTCCCCTTTAAAAGTAATTTCGAAATAATGAATCCTCTAACAATTTACACTTTCCTCACCGTCGTAGCACAATGCACAGCAGAAATTGTTATTATTTGGCTACTGGTATTTGTAATTAATTACCAAATAGAATAGAAAACAATAAATTTAAAGTTTTTTAAGCGGAGTTTTTTTAATTTTCTTATAAATTAATACTATTATACCACAAGTGATTATCTTAAGTAAAACAGTTTCCTACATTATGTTATCTTTGCATACGAGTATATAAATATAAAACGGATTATTTGTGCACCAGAAATGGTATAACATAAAGGATGTAAGACCTATATCGTAGCATGTTTTAATAAATATGCATAGATAACCAAAATGAGTACAAGAAATTATTGGTACTGTGAAGAACAGTAAATAAAGAACGTATTCGGGTAGCTCGAAATTAAAAGCAATCCCCCACACTATGCAATCTCGGTTCTAGGAGTAAAGCGACATTCCCAACACCTTAAGTGAACGCGTAATTGTTTCAAGCAAGTGCGCGCAACCTAACAATCCGTGCTCTTTACAAGCAATCAAAAAAATTACGCCCGACAATTTCACAGCCCATCGCGGCTGCCGAACGGGGTACAGCGGGCAGAGGAAACTCTTCTCAAGGCATTCAACAATTTTTTTGTGATTCCGAACACATTTTTTTCTAGTCCCAGCCTAAGGAACCTATCGATTATGGTAAATGAAAACATACACTTAAAAATTAGAAATTAGTGAAAAATTTGTTAAAACAACATTTTGTAATGGACCGAACTGTGAATCAAAATCGTTCTGGAATCCGCTTGAACACACACACAAAGAATTTCATCAAAATCAGTCCAGTCGTTTACGAGGAGTTCAGTCACACACACCCACCGAAGAATTACGTATACAAAGATCACCGGAACGACATTGATAAAAGCCGTACATTCATCACACAATAATCTTACAGAAGCCACACCCTCTGGCATAAGATTCTGGCGTAAAGTTCTGTGAGGCCGTGGTTTGTTGTCGTTGTCGTTGTAACTGAAGCTAGTGGTTTCAGTCCGTAGGCTATTAAAGCTTTATACAACGCAGACCCCGTGGGCTAGCCAGAACCCACTGCATTACGAAGTACCACGAGGCGGCAGTACTTCCACAGAAAAATCTGTTCATTTGTGCAATAACAGAAGTTTCTGCTTGGTCCCATCACAGTTAAAACCTATACAACATGCCCATTCGCGAACAGTAATTAAAACTTTCCAATGTTCCAAATATTTTCCCCTGATGGGGTAGACAAAAGTACCTGGTGCCAACCAAGTCAACCTAAACTTAAAGAAAACTATCCGAAAAGTTATTCCATGCGTTGAGTTTCAAGCTTGCGAGATTATTGTTCCCAGGAATAGGACTAAAATATCTAACCTGGACGGGACGGCAGCACTAAGTGGTGTCATATTGCCGTAAAACATTTAGGGTACCGGGGAAGCCCCGGAAAGTACTAACGATTGGTGCCTAGCGAGTTCTTCTGTAAGGAACATTTTAAAAATCACTGAATTTTATCCAGAATATAAATAAATAATAGCACTGAATTTTATCCAGAAATCTCGACACTGAACATCGATGTAACGGTTACTAAACATTAAAAAAATCGCACTTAACGGACTTTTTTGCTAACCTTACGGCCGCGATAATAAAGCAAGTGTAATGACAACATCACGTGTCTAATCTTCGGCGTGTCTTCGCCTTTTTATTTACCGCTGTACCTTCAATTGGCGGTAACAAGAGTGCTCTCTTAATACGAGTACACGTTCCAACTAAATCGTCCGTCACTTAGAAAGCCGGCGCAAGCGGAAAATGGCTTAATAAGCGTTTCGGCAGTCAGTCTCGTGAAATATTAAATCCACTTTTGGCTTTTCACTTTACCCGAAATTTGTATGCGTGACGTTTTTGATGACTTCATCATACGAGTACCTCATCGTCTCAAAGAATGGCACTCAAGCTCTTGATATCATGTGTAACCGTAGAGAAGTATAATAAAGTACATATCATCATCTTTATTACTGACTTATCGGCTACTCGATTCACCGAAGAACGGCGAACCCTATAAGCTTTGCGAATGTAGCAAATAAAAAAAGTTCTGCAACCCGAAAGAAAACCCTTCGAGACCGGAGCGGTCGCTAATGGGGATCCAGTCGAAAAAACGCCAGCGCCGAGTCGTGATCCGCGCCGGCGTGGAGGACGTATGGAAATGTGCACCTGCCCCCGCCACCCACTGCGCAGATAAGCGGGCGGCTAGTTATGCAGTCAACTGCTAACTGGCCGTTGCCAGCCCTCTCCGCGTCTGCTACCGTGTAATAGTCAAGCCACCGTTTCGGATTAGTTTCCGCCTGGATAGAACAGATGTCGCTTTCGAATTTGGAATGCTACTGTTTTTTTTTTTAATATTTCACTAGACATAAAGGATTATTTTTTTCCTTTTTAGTTTAAAGTACATATAGGTAAGTTCATCAAAAAAGCTACCACTTTCTATTAATTTACATCGACGTAAATAATGGAAAATCATTATTGTTTACATATATATTAACATTAAAAGACCTGTATTAGCTAGTTATTAGGCACAAATACTCATTGCCAAAAATTATCTTTCGCGTGAATAACAATGAATTTAATACGTCATAATATTAATTTTTAATTTACCTAACAATAGAGCAAGAGAAGACATCCGCAGTAGAACCAAGGTAACCGACATAGCTCAGAGGGTTAGCAAGTGAAGTGGCGATGGGCCGGCCATATAGCTCGTAGAACTGATAACCGTTGGGGAAGAAAGGTTCTCGAGTGGCAGCCTCGTACTGGCCATCGCAGTGTGGGACGACCCCCCATTAGATGGAGTGACGATCTGTGCAAATGTGCAGGAAGTCGATGGATGCAGGTGGCTCAGGATCGTACTTCGTGGCAGTCTATGTGGGAGGCCTATGCTCAGCAGTGGACTCAAACAGGCTGAAATGATAATGATGATGAGAGCAAGAGAAAAAGTGGCTAGGAATTTTATTACTCCAGAAGTCTAGAATATTACACAACACTAAATACGGAGCAAAAGAAACACCATCGTTACATTAGCACGACAAACATAAATATCTACTTCAGTGTGCAACAGCAGTGCAGGTCTCCACCACATTCACATACACATACACTTATACATACCACGGCATTCTGCTTGATCTGACGAAAAAGGGTGTGTGTGCTCTATGACCACTTTACTTGGAACTTTTAACGCGGTCTTTGGTCTCTGCTACCTTAAGCTCTCTCTACTATCTCTGATACTACTGCTGCTTGGGTGGCATGCTACTTGAACTAGAAACAAGGGTATGTGTGCTCTACGACCACTTTACTTGGAGCTTTCAACGCGGTCTCCGCTACTACGAGTACTGCGGCTTAAGTACCTGAATAGCACCAGGCTGGCCAGACGACCGGCGCCTCTGCGTCCAGGTCGCGACGGGATAGCGGCGCCAGCATCAGATCGGAAGCTCTCCAACCGCCCACCGAAACATCGCACTAGCCTACGGAGGAACACACTGCTGTAGGGCGCTTGCACTCTGAACGCGATAAGGTAATCTGTCGTTTGGAAATCGTTTGGAAAGACGAGCATTTTTCTACACTTGTGCCTCTTCTTTATGTGTGTCGAATGAAATGCTTCATGATGCACGCGGAATTGTCAATGTTTTCTGATAGGAAATAGTCGTGATCTATAAATTGTATTGTGCTATCTCTTGTGCTGTGTTAGTGAAGAAAATAGTCGTTATGACTTTGATGCAGTTGCCCGTTGGAAATGTTATATAATTTGAACTGATCTTAACCTATACTTTCATATTATATGTTCGTGTATTTAGCGATAACTTCATTTGAGATGTGTTTGATAAATTACGAGTACCTAGATGTCTTTTCTCAATAGTAGTCTAATTTTCGCAATCTCAATTACTCTTTTTGTGGTATTCAAAAAAAATCGTTAAGGTTTTAATATCATACTACCAAAATGAAAGGGAATTGAAATGACTTTGAAGCGCAAAATGTTCGAAATTGAATCAAGGTATGTGTAATCAACCGATATAAATTGCAATATTTGTACTTCTAATAATATGAGAAGTGACCTGATCAAATAAGTGTTTGTCGTTGCTTAGTTTAAATTTGACCAAACAGCTTTTATCACATCCAACATTTTATCAATACGAGTCATGGGACGACTCCCTACTTTTGGGTGTAAAACATTGACTCGCAATTCGGTCCAGGTTCGTTCAAATTGCGACACGGCGTTCAATCAGAAATCGAGGTGCTGGCCGCTAAAAAAATAACGATTCTAGAATCAGAAGCGTCGAAACAAAAATGGTCTCATCTTCACTGGTGGATAAGAAAGAAAAAAAAACAAAGACCACCGTTTTTTTCCCCCCTAATAATCGTTTCTGGCTCAGTTTTTCACGTCGGCCTGTGGGTGCCGGAAAATCGGAGCGGATCGGTCAAAGCGTGTCAATCGAAACTCCATGGTTCAATAAATCCATCGGAAGCTGTACCTCTGGAGGTTATTACACCATTCCAGCAGAGGCATTTTGCGGTGTGAAATAGTGGTGTCCATTACGATGCCAGCGGGTTCGTAAAAAAAATTATAGTTTTGAAACTTCTTCTTGCTTGCTTCCATAATCGATGAATTCATAACATGCATTCGTAAGAATTAGAAACTGTACTTGAAAGTAGAAACAGATTAACGTTGTGGTATATTAAATGCATCATATTTCTTATATCGAGTACAGTTAACAAATTTTTTAAATAAAATAACAAGTGGGATGGAGATTAGTTGATTGATTGTTTGAACAAATTTTATTACATATAATTAGTTCAAATAGGAAACACTATTCATTGCATCCTTGGTAGATATTGGGTCTTTTGTCTTTGTATATTGTAAATCTATTCAAACAGACCATAAGTTTTACAAAAAATCAACGTAGAAAAAGTAAAGAAAATTAGAAAAGTAATTAAACCATGTATGGGTGTATGACTATAACTCAAAAATGATAAATATTTCACACAAATTATATATATATCACGGTACATTTCCTTCTTCTTTCTTTGTATTTCCTTGTGTGCAATAAAGTATAAAAACAAACAAACCAACAAACAAAGAAATTCTTCATAGTTAATAAAATTAATGTTTGAGTAGAATTTATATTAAATTCATTAAAGTACAGATATAATTAGTTGCTACTTTTAAATACATATTTATACGCTTTTCGTGCGTGAATAAGAACACAAAACGTAATATTTTTATAACGAAAGCCTGCACGTTCCAAATCAAACTGTCATCACCGTTTGACCTTACCATTTCTTTTTTTGTATACTCCACTTTCTATTCGGCCAGCAATAGCGGCCATTTGATATTCAAGTGCAATTAAGTTTATTTTTAAATTTACATTCCATGACAATGGTCAAATTTGAACATCGAACGAGGCGTTCCAATTTCAAACGAGCGGTCGCAGCACGCGTCGCGCCCGGGGCGACCCACGCCCGTGCTTACTACTGCACGCTTCGATTTAGCACAGATAGGAAAGCCGAGGGTATCTTTCTAATGCTATTCCGATAAGGACAAGTTCATTTATACTCAACTAAACGTGCAAAAGTCTTATCTAGAATGTGTTTTATTAAATTGTTGTTTTTCATTTTATCATCATTTGTAAAATTTTTATGCGGTTGCCATTTTAAATTCTAAATCGTTCCATTTTCATGAGTTGTTGTGTGGAAAATGGAATGCAAAAATTTTTCGATTGTATATCACGGCCAGTATATCAGCGATGACAAGAATGCGGCGTCTGCCTTTGTCTAATCTGTGGCGGTGGCGTGTCTATGGCCGCGAGGCGTGTTCTCGTTGCGCGCCAGGTGTCGCGGTCGTGCGGCCGAGATCGTTCGTAAACTCGGCTGCACTCATCAATTGCGAGCAATTGAGCCTTTTTTCTGTGCGTCCATTAAAGAAGACACGCAAGTCGTCCAGGTGACGCTGATTCTACAGCGTGTTGCTTATTTCAGAAACAGTGCAAAATGGCAAACTTTGCCAGCAATAATTATTCAAATGACTCGATAATTATTATAAGTCTTGCGTTATGTATATATTTATACGGTAGTTTTTCAAAACTCTTAATAACTTGAGAAGTAGTCGTGCTGATCTACGAAATTTATTGTAAAATCCACAGTATAGATAGGCTTAAGTATAATCATAGTTGACAAAAATGTACACAAAATTAGTTGAATGTTACCTATCCTAACATATGTTAAAACGAAAAGTTTTCGTTTTGCAAACATTTTCCTTAGCCCCGTGACTGAAAAGCCTTCACATAACTTCACTGCCCTAGGAACGCGAACCGATAACGAAGATAAGTTTCTGTTGGTGCTGTAGTCTCTGTTGGTGCTACGAAAGTGTCTGTTGCTGCCGCGCACCGATTGGTGCCGTGGCCGGAGCTGGTTGGGGCCTTCACCACGCCTCCGGCTCATCGCGGGCGAATTTTAAAACGCGCTGTACACGACGCGGCTCTGTTTAGAAAGCGGTGCCAATTACGCGGGCACCGTCGACTACGCTGACGGACATCTTCAACATCCTGCAGTTTCATTTGCATCCCGGGTCGGCAGGTTTAATTAGGATTGGCAGTTTGAGGGACTTGAACTATATACGTTACGACCGTCCAGCCGTAAATCTGAGGAGAGCGATAAATTTCTATTTCATTTTCCAAGGTTTAGAATATCGCCGCGGAAAGGCTGACCGTGGACGATGCAGTGTATGAAACGTCGTGAGTTAGTATCATAATTACGCACGCTTTTCGCGTAAAATAGGAATATAAAACAAATTTTAAGGTTCACAATTTCAATAGCCTCGTGAACCATCCTTGGATCCCGTAATCGGCATTCTTTTGCGATGCTGAAAATAAAATTAGTTTTATTCGTTTCGAATACTTTACATTATTCATGATCACGGCCCTTTGTTGAATGCGTAGGTTTATTAGTTTTATGAAAATGTGTTACGTTCGCATAAATAAGGAAATCTATTAATTTAGACAGTGTAAATACCAATTTAATTAATAGATTTAGAGATGACCAAATGCAATGAATGGTAGTAAAGTTGGCGTTTCACGTATCATTACCAGAGTTATTGGGAATGTAATGACTGTTTGCTTGGTTTACTTGATTCCCGCTGAGTTTCTTTCGCCGGTTCTTCTCAGGTCAGTGGCTTTTCTTTCAGCGTTTTGGTACCATCAATAAGTAAGTGTGATGCCTGTGTATTGAATAAAAGTATTTGATTTTGATTGAAACCTAAATTATCAATACTCAGTTACAGCTGAGGTTTGCGAAAGTTTTAAATATTAGAGTGTAAGTATATTAAGAATATGTTTATAATTGTTGCATCCATTAATTAAAGGTAATCACAATGTTTTTATATTAATGTATGTGTACTTATGTACGCGTTGTAAGTTAAGTATGTAAATAAAACTAAATTACCGTTAGAAAAGAAAAATAACAAATAAATTTGTTCCCTGTGCCGGTACCCTTTTTTTTGTGAAATAGCCATTAAATGCAATTAATAACGGTTTAATTGAATAATTTGGAATTATCGGTAAGTGCCAAAAGTTGTTATTGGTTGCCATGGTAATACCTTAAGTTGATTGGCTGTAGGTGCGCCTCTTGAAAATTTTACTCTGATAATTTTTCCAAACGCGCCAAAAGAAGTATAATTTAAAAAGTATCCGGCGGTTAGCAATGATGACGCAAAATTGGTTGAAAGCTCTTATATTACTTAGTTAGTTAGCTATTAAGTCCATCGCTGAGCTGACATTGAACCATGGGCTTCATATGACGAAATTTTTCTTGAAAATCTTACCAACAATCCATCGGGAACTAAATGCTTGGTGTGAGGTTTGATTCCGGGATAGTGATGGATACAGCATTTATCCGAATCCAGGCCAGTGTAGACCTCTCTTAGTGAAGTCGAATCGTGAAAAATTATTTACGTAAAATAACCAATAACTTTTTATACATTGAAATAACATTTAGTGAAGTACAAACGAATGATTAATGATGTTACAACGTGCTATATTGTCTAACATTATAAATGTGTAAACAAATTCGTACATTAAACCGATATCAATTCTTATAATCCGAGTAACAAGAAACGAATAATGTGAATTATGTATTCGTTTAGTATTAACATAAGCGATCGCCTCCCCACTAACAAGGCCCTCACAGGTGGCTACTGCCCGGCTTGTGAAAGTGGACCCCTCTATGCGCTCCTGAAAACCCCTCCGACGCCCATGGTACCTTAAGATGCGGGGGGCGGGGCGTACCAGCTCTAGCCAAACACCCGCAGTCTCTATGTTAATCACGCGTCAAGTTAACGTTACATAAAATCGCTTAGAAGTAATTCTTTAATGTTCGAACGTGAACGTTGTACGTTTCAAATTAATGATAGGGTCGAAGGTAAAAGGCGGCTAGATCAAAGCGGTGTACGGTTAATGGTATGATTTATTGGCCCCACTGGAAATGCAGTTGGTACGAGTAAATGTGGGCGAATGTTTGAGATCAGGCGTGGTGGAATTGAAACTTGAAATGCCTAAACACTGT